ACACAAAACCCAGCCCTCCAGCAGCAGCAAGGTTCTTCAGTCCAGCACACGTATCTTCCCAGCACGTGGAACTCATTTCGGAGCTATTGTGAGTGTCGGCAGTAGCTCTCCCTGGAGCTCTGGCTCGTATGTGCGACTAGTATGGTGCCCATTTCTCCAAATGGGTTTGCGCTTTCAGAGCTCATGAAACTTCATTAATATTCATAAAGGTCTAGGAAGATGGCCAGTTCTACGCAAATGAAAATGGCTGTACTAGCTTTTTTACCATAGATCTATAATTATCTGCAGTGTGGTTTGGACAGGCAGAGTAGGGCTCCTTTATTACAAGCATCTTGCATTCAGCCAAAATCTGTGTATTTGATAGCAGCTTGTTCAAATTCAGATGGATGCTTGAACCATATAGAAGAGGGCAGCGTGAAATGACCTCCGGTGTCCAAGCAGGTCTGGGTAGTAATTTGGGGAATCTCTTCTTCGGGGAGAACAGGATGTGATTGATAGGCATGAAGAGCCAGATCCTCAGCTCTGATGTCAGTTGACATCGTTCTGTTGAGGCCTGTAGAGCTATGGGCTTCTTACTACTGGAGTTTCTGCTCAACAACTGCTGCTGTTTTGAAGCTCTGGGCTTGTGTTACACCTGTGCACCACTGTCATTGCTGTTTTTCAAGGTAGTCTCTAAGTTTGACTGAAGGTCTTGATTCTCCAATTTCCATCTTTCAGCATCCGAGATTCAGATGATGGCCATTCCCCAAGGCCAGTACGTGATTGCAGAGACAGCTGTAGGTACGCCTGTTACGACTGTTAACACGGGGCAAGTGAAAGCGGTTACCCAGGTAAGGAAAATGATCGTGGTGTTTTGTTTTTGTTTTCTCCTCTCCTAGAATAGTGTATCAGGCTTAAAGTTTTCACTTTCAAAGGTTAAAGGAATGCCAGAATGATGACTGGGGCACAGAGAATAGAGAATAATGGTGCACCTAAAGAGGTCCAGATTGTGTAGGTCAAAAGAGCAGTGCCTTTCTGCAATAATTGTACTGAGTTCCATACTGCATAAAATCCGTAGGCAAAACGGCTAGGAGATGATATGATGCGTTGTGTCACAAGCTAAGGAGAAAAGGGCTACCGTTCACATCTGTGACCACTGCTGTGATCTTTAGCTTACAAAAGGCCAGAAATGATCTCATGTGCTTCAGGGAAACGAACTTTTTTTTTCCCTGAAGTAGCATCATATTTCTTGATGAGAACAAATAATGTTCTGCCTCCAGTCACCTATGAGGCCCACATCTGTCTGATGCTTGTATGTATGACTGCCTCCAGCTGAATGCGTTCACTTCTTCATATTTGCAGTAGAGGGTATGATTCAGTGATACTGAGTAGTCTTAAAAATATTTAAGACTGTCCTGAAAGTTAGTTCAGTGTATCCAGCTTAGTTTCTGGAAACATTTCTCACTTTCTAATCCCTTGCATAACTGAAAGATGTGAAGGATGCATTGCTATCTTATCTAGTAAGGGATCCAGCGTAAGGAAGTGGGATTGATGTAGTGTTTGGATGTTGGACACTGGAAATGCAACTTCTGCTAGAGCATATGGAAAACGGAAGAAACTTTCCAAATAATTGTGTTGTAAATTGCTATTTTAACCTCTGTGGATGGGTGAATTGCATAATTTGCTTTAGCTATTCGTAAACTATATTCATCACAGTCCAACGTACACCAAAGCGAGGGTCTGATTTGGGTTATATTGGCTTCAAATACACACTTAAACGCAATACAACTTAATTTCAAAATTCTGTGTTCATACCAAACTGTCTTCCAGCACAGCAACAGGAGTGTTATAGAAGATGTGAGATGAAACACAATTGTTGCTTAATTTTTTTTAATATTCCCTGTGCAGACTCACTATGTGATATCTGAAGGTCAGCCTGATCTGGATGTCAAACAAAACTCTTCGCTCTCCAGTGAGGTACAGGTCGGTGTTTCCCAGCCATCAGCCCACACTGATACCTTGGAATCTCAAACGAGTAATCAGCAGCAGACCACCCAGTACATAATCACTACAACCACCAATGGGAACGGGGGCAGTGAAGTGCACATCACTAAACCAAGAACTTTCTCAGCAGAGCATGAATGAAGAAACCCTGTGGTGTCATTTGCTTGTACTTTTGACCTCCCCCAAAAGCCCAAATATATGGGTGTCCTGGAGCTCGATATGATTTAAAGTATATGGTCACTTCAGCTAAAATCTTGGAGCTCTTCTTAATGCTTTAAGAGGGTTTAAGTCCCCCGTGACAATGAAGAAATACCCTCAAAATCCTTCTGGGATGCCACTTTATGCAGCTTTTAACAAAAGGGACAAGAAGAGAAATGGAATCTCTGCTTGCCCTGGACTTGATTTTTGGCATGTCTGCTGACCCTTATTTTTCCTTTTTGGAAGTGTCTCCAGTAAACAACATTTATTTCAATGGTATGGGAAAAAGCTTGCCTGACTGAAGGCTAACTGGCAGATTATGTTCTATGTATATTTTTAATAGGAGCTGTTAAACAAGAGGACATCATGTAAATTGCCGGAGTATGGCAGAACTGCTTCCTGTGTGTTTGTTTCAGCAGCCAAGGTGAAAGGGAACATACCAGCTCAATAGAGAGCAGAATGCCTGGAGAAAAAAGCAGCAGCAAAGTGGTGACTCCTTGTATGTGTTTGTGGGGATGGATTTTAAAAATGAAGCTGTGAAGCCGTGCAGAAGCAGTCCATTAAATTATTATTTTTTCAACCCTCTAGAACTGTTTACATGCTGTCTGCCCTGCCCTACCTTACCAAGCAGTTTAGAAGAAGGAAAAGTGCAGTCTTAAACCCTTGCTGTTTGGAACAAACTGATTGAAATCATAGTAGCACATAACGGTAGTACGGAGCCACTGTTATCTCTTTTTTCCCCTCCAGCGTTTGCCTTTTTGCCTGAGAGCAAAAAAGGCTCCGCTTAGCCTGCATAGCGGCTTCTGCTGTGACCTCTAATGATAGCTGTGTCAAGAGAAAGTGAGGGTAAGGGAAAGAGAATAATCCTTTTCTCTGTGTTTTGATTTGGAGGTTTTGAAGTCAAAAGGCACTGAAACCTCTGCCTTGCAGTTGCTGTTTGAGACTGGCTTTAACTTGCAGTGTTTGAAGAGAACCTGTCTAAACCGACTCCTGAGCAAACCTCTAGGAATATATCCACCTCAGAGTGGATATATTTTTACCTTGAAGACTGGATGGAGAGCTGGTTACTCTGATTTTCCAAATACCTTCTTAACAACACGCTGTAATTCCTTTGGACAGTTTAATAAAGTGGCCGGCCCTGGACTCGGGAAACGCCAAAAAAAATTGCTAGTGGACCACTGTTACGGGACGTAGAAAGCCATCTGCAAGAGTTGCCTGCTTTGGTAGACCTGGTCTGTGTATAGAACTCATGTTTAGGGACCAGGGGACAGGGAGAGACAAGTTTTATCTTTTAAGGCAGTGTATTTTTTTTTTCTTTATTAATTCTCCTTCACAGGTCTTGTAGGTTGGTTATTTAAAGCATTTGGTATTTGCAAGAATATGACTACAACTCCATTTACTGTTGATGGGATATATTGTATGTGTCTAAATTTCCGTTCACTCTGCTTGAAAGCCCATCCTGGAATATCAGTGCATAATATTTAAAAAAAAAAAAAGTAAGTTTTGTCTCAATGACCTTTGAGACCTAAGAAAGGATCTCTGTTTTTGTTAATTCACTTTCTCCTGTGCTGCATTGAGTGTGAATCTGCGAATCTTTTACCTAAGTACTCCCACAGATTGAGATGAGGATTACCATACGAAAGTGCTACCAATGTTTATAGGTTGCAGTATCAGGCCTTATAGTGGTGTAAAGCTCTTAAACGTGAGAGAATTTAGCACTCGGACTGGACAAGTGGATGCCTTGTTACTTGCTGGCAAAGCCTTGTAGCATGTATTGCTTTGGTAAAAAACAGTATCTGTTACTCTGCTGTGGAAATAGTGACTGTGCATGATGAGATAAATCCTATTTAAAATATTGGCCAGCTCAGAACTGCTTTGAGAGAGCCTTGAAGTGATTTGCCAAAACGTAGATCAATTTGTGCCTGGGATTTCGCTTCTCTTACTGTACCAGTATACTGGGGCATTAACAGGATTAGTAAAAGTCAATGAGGACCTGAGCTGCCATCTAGTCAATTGTGGTGATGAGTGTCTTTGAATTCAGTGGATTTGGGAGGGTATCTGCTTCTGCAGTGTGGCCAAGCAACTGCAGTTGCCACTGATCCAGGTGAAGTCACGTTGCTGAGCACTGTGAGGACCAGGCCGTTACAGGTGCTGTTCACGTGGGGGGACAGACGGGAGCTCTTGCCTTGGCTTTGTCCCTGACCCTTATTCAAAGAAAAGGGGCTTTCCTCAGACTGCTCGATTATTTCATAGCATGAGTCAAACGTATGGTGCAAGTAAGAAGGAAACAGACCTGGAAATGGTATTTCCAGGGGCGTTTTTGAAGTCTTAAAAGGTCTAGTCTTTCTAGATGAAGATCAATCCGCTTCTCCTTAAAGATATTGCCAGAGACAGGGTCACAGAATGAGGACACTTGCTCTTGTACCAGTTATGTAAAGCTGCAAGCTACAGGGCGTTACAGAAAACCGCGTCAAAACAGCCCCTTGGAGCTCGTGTCTTCCTTACCGACGTTTCCGCCGTGTCCCACAGTAACGGCCGTATACGCAAGCCATCAGCTTGACGCCAGCCTAGCGATTCACTGCCCCGAGTGAATGGATGCCTCAGGTGAGAGAGAATCTTCCCGAGGAATCAAGTATCATGAAATGTTCATGGCAGAGTAACGAACTAGAAGGGTTGCCCAGGCTGGGGGTGCCCGAATAGCTGTACAGCACAGTGGTGCTGCAGGGCCTGCTTTTACGAAAGGGGAAAAAAGACAACTCTTTGTGTGATTGTTTGTCCCCCCCCCCCCCCCCCCTCCAGACTTCTGCTGTGCAGAGGACGCAGGGTCGTTTGTGTAGTTTTTATTTTTTGTTTTGTTCCGTTTTAAACGGCCAACCCAAAGATCCGTCTCCTAAACAACGTCCCGGGGGAGGGTGGCGCTGGAGCGCGTGGGGCCTAAAGACGGAGATGTCGTGCTCGTGGCCTCCTCCCGCCCCGGTTCTGTTATTTAAACGTGTATGGTATATTGTACAGTCAGTGATGGTTGTAGTGTCAATGGTCTTGTGCTACCGCCCAGGTGTAAAAACAAAAAAAAAAAACAAAAAAAAACAAAAAAACCCGGAATTAA